CTAACACAGCCGAACTTGATTTTTATTTTATTTTTTCAATAAAAAAATATATTCCGAAAAAAAAAAAAAAAAACAATATGGGCAGGTGTCCGTTGACATGGAGCACAAACGTGTGCAAAAAACACACCCCCCTAATAGCCAAAAAAAAAACAGAAACACAGAGTTCCCGGTCTGCGTGAACTCACAAAAAACATGACAGGTGACTGGAGCGCGTTCACCAGGGCCGTGAATGGTGAACGGGGGTATGGCACTGCCGTTCACCACTGACCTATGAACCCCCCCCGGAGGCGGCCATGCGCGGCCTAGGCCATGGCTGCAGCCTAGGCCGCGACCCTGCGGCAATGAAAAAAAAAAAAAAAAAAAACGTTCAAATATTTCTGAAAACAAAATATGTTATGCACCAGGGTTACCTGACCGAACGTTCCGGGCCCCCGGGCTGGCCCCGAACGTTCGGGCGTTCGGGGAGGTGTGGGGGGGCCAAACACGTCCAGGTTTGGCCCGCGCCAAAAAACATTTCAGGGCCTAAAAATAAGTTTTGTTTCCTGAATGTTTTTTTGTGAGTTCTCTATGATGTAACCTACACGCCTATAAATTTTGAAGTCATTCTGCTAAGCCAAATAAAAATCGTCAAAGATGGGGGTATCAAAACATGCTCACCCACTCACTATTTTGTTTTTTTTTCACTTTTAACTTTTTGTTTTCGCTTTATTTCGGGGCCTAAAAAATTTTGTTATTTTTTGAATTTTTTTTAAATGAGTTACTGATTACATAAACAACATATCTGTAAAATTTTCAGGGCATTTGTCCATGCCAAAAAATAATTACAAATCGGCAAAGATGGCGGTGTCGAAAAGGTGCTGGCACACTCACGCATTTTAATTCTCTTTTTATTTTATCTTATTTTTATCATAGTGTTTATTTTCTGTATTTGATTTTTAATTCAAATTTGGTAAAGAATTTGGATGTAGTGTCCTGGCAAATGTTGTTTAATTCAGTTTTCTCCATAACATTTGTTTTTTTTTGGAATTTTTTGAAAACTTTGTTTTTTTTTCTGTTTTTCTTTTTCTGGTCCGCAGCCCGAACGGCCGAACGCCTTTCGAAGGGGTCCCGTACGTTCAGGCGTTCGGGCTCGGGCGTTCGGCCTGTCCCGAACACCGGCATCCCTGTTATGCACAAAAATATACTGAACAACTTTTGCCTTGGGGTCATATCCAAAAACTCTCGTGAATTAAAAAAAAAAAAAAAAAACATAAGTTTTTTAATTTTTTCTTGAAAAACAAAAACAAAAACAGCTTTTACCTCAGGAAAATTAGTTTTTTAATTTTAAAATTCAAAGACGAAGTCAACAAATAAGGGTCTCGTTAGACACTCCTAAAAGTGCCTATTTTTAGGACTGCGTCCTGGTTGCGCGCAACCCTAGATCCAATTTTGATATCGAAAATGTCAAAACAGCGTTAGGACGAATCCTAAAGGATTTAGGATTCCCCTGGCAAAATCATCCTAAATTTTCCAGTAGCCCCCGACCTACTGAAAAATTAAGGATTCCCGCGTTTCACGGACTCATTGCGTCGCGCGCATGGCACCCTCGACACAGAGTTGCTGGTGCAGAAGCGGTCCATCGGGTCAGTGGTCGGACATCGAAGGTTTTCTGCGAGTCGACGAGGGCAACGGCCACGAACGGTAGCCGTTGGCGGGGATTGGACGAACATTGGTAGGAATGGATGGACATTGGCGACGCCGGTGCGTACACACATATGGAAACCGGCCGCAGGAGACCTTTTAAGACGAATCCTAAAAGATAAAACTTTTAGGATTTCGTGTAACGACGCTGCACGAAATCCTAAAAATCCTTTAGGACTCGTCCTTAAAATTTTAGGATTCTTTTAGGAGTGTCTAACGAGACCCTAAAATAAAAATGTATGTAGTTTAAATCTCAAAAAGATGTACAACCCCATTTTTTTTTATTTTTTATTTTTGAGAATTTTTTAAAGTCTAAAAAAATCCCTGAAAGTCGCGGCCTCACCCAACCACGGCCGGAGCCGCGGCGGCCGTGATCACGGCCGCCCTCCGATCTCGACCCCGCGGACGCGTCCGCGGGTGTTTCATAGCCACTGACATTTGCATGCCGCGAAACACACGCGTGTTATCATACGTGAAGAAGTTGGCTACGTAGATGCACACATTCACTATTTATTAAATGCACATCACACACACCTTGCCATCTGATCCACAGTGTTAGAGTATGAGTGGAACCCTATCAGTCAGCCCACCAATCATTTTGTTTGCATGCTTTGGATTCTATGAAACCACGCGTTCATTGAACGCTGGTTTTGTGTTCAGAAACTGAACGCTTTGAACACGCGTTCTCAACTTGAACGGTTTTGCGGCTAAAATGAAACGGAAAATAAACAACGAAAAAGAAACAAAACGAAAAAAAAAACTAACCTCCATCTTTGTGTGTTGTCCTGTTCGCTGTACACCTTAAAAAATGCATGACTGTGCCAGACTGTTTCGGGGGACTTTCACGGAGTCTGTGTGTGTGTGTGTATGTGTGTGTGTGTGTGTGTGTGTGTGTGTATGTGTGTGTGCGTGTGTGTGTGTAGAAGAGCAAACTCCTGTGTCTGTGTGTTCGTGCGCACTAGCGCGCAGTTCACACACCCACACCCACACGAAC